AAGTCAGTGTGTGTCTTTCAATCTGTAGTTAGTCTCTTGTAGACATCATATGTAAGTATCTTGTTTTATTATCTATGTAGCCACCATGTGTCTTTTGATTGAAGCATTTAATACATTTTCATTTGAAGTAATTATTGAGAGATATATATTTATTGCCATTTTATTATTCATATTTTTGTCCTTTTTTCTTCTTCTTAAAGAAGATCTTTTAACATTTCATGTACTACTGGTTTAGTGGTGATTAACTTCTTTAGCTTTTTCTTGTCTGGGAAGCACTTTATCTGCCTTTTCCTTTTAAATGATAGCTTTGCTGGGTAGAGTAATCTTGGTTGTACATCCTAGCTTTTCATCACCTTGAATATTTCATGCCAATCTGTTCCAGCCTGCAAAGTTTCTGTTGAGAAATCAGCTGACAGCCTAATGGGAGTTCCACTGTAGATGACTAACTGCTTTTCTCCAGCTGCTTTTAAGATTCTCTCTTTGTCTTTAACCTTTGGCATTTTAATTTTGATGTTTCTTGGTGTGGACCTCTTTGGGTTCATCTTGTTTGGGACTCTCTGTGTTTCCTGGACTTGTATGTCTATTTCCTTTGCCAGGTTACGAAAGCTTTCCATGATTAATTTTTCAAGTATGTTTTCAATTTCTTGCTCTTTCTCTTCTTCTTCCAGCACCCCTATGATGTGAATGTTGATATGCTTAAAGTTATTCCAGAGGCTCTATAAACTATCCTTACTTTTTTTTAATTCCTTTTTTTGCTGTTCTGACTGGGTGTTTTCTGCTTTCTTATCTTCCAATTTGCTGATTTGATCTGCTGCTTCATCTACTCCACTGTTGATTCCCTGTAATGTATTCTTCATTTCAGCTAGTGTATTCGTCATTTATGACTGGTTCTTTTTTATGCTTTCTATCTCCATTTTTATGTTTCATTTTTCTTTGTTTAAGTTCTAAGTTCATCTAACTTCCCTTAAATTCACTGAACATCCTTATAACCAGTGTTTTGGATTCTGCATCTGGTAGATTGCTTGTCTCCTTATCTTCATTTTGGTTGGTTCTTTTTCTGGAATTTTGTTCTCTTCTTTCATTTGGGACTTGTTTCTTTGTCTTCACATTTTTGTTGCTTTCCTGTGTTTGTTTTTATGTATTAGGGCTGCTGCTACATCTCCCAGTCTTGGTAGAGTGGCCTTATGTAGTAGGTATCGTGTAGGGCCCATTGGCACAGCCTCCCCAGTCATTTAGCTGGGTGTTTCAGGTGCACCCTCTGTGCGGGATGTGTGCATCTTCCTGTTGTAGCTGAGCATTGATTGCTGTTGGCATATCAGTGGATGGGACATCCCCTCCCTCATACCAATAGACTTCAAGGACTGAATATAATTACCATGGAGAATCTTCTGTGCAGGAACTTATCCCATGGAGCAGGACTTACTTCAGTGGGTCTTAGGTATCTGTCAAGTCCACCCCTTGAGTGTGTCACTTGTGGAGGTGCTTGGGTGGTGCTTTGTTGTGGTCTGAAGTTGTCTACCAGGTACACTGACTGTGGGGGCTCCTGGGAGGTGCAGTCCAAGATCAGCTGCTCTCTATGCCCCACCTGGGGCCACCCTGCATGAACTAAAAAGTGATCTGCAGATGCCTGCTACTTTTGCTACTTTTGCTGGACTTGGAGGTGACCAGAAGAGGCCAACCTATGAACCAATGCCAGCTGCCGTTAGTGCTGGGCCTGGAGCTACTTAGTAACATGTATGTGGTACACAGAGGCCAGATGTTGTTGCTTGTTTGAGAGATTTTAGGAATGTCAACAGCATGAGCCAAGAGAGGCAACTTGTAGGAAAAGCCACTGGGAAGATTTTGGATATGGCTATATGTTGGGTGAGCCAGGATTTCAGGGAATTACCAGGGTGGGGGCAAAAAGTGTTAGCCAGAATGATGGAGACTCAGATATGGCACCTGCCTGCTGGCTCTGTGGGAAGAGGACTCAGCAAAGGGACAATGGCATCTGCCAGCACTTCTGTCTTGGAGTAAGTTGCCCGTCCAGCTATCACCCTGATGTTGAACAATTCAGTTCCTCCTCATATGTTCCTGGCATCTTTTGGCTGCTGCCCCAGTGCTGCTGGGCAGAGCATTAGTCTGTCAGTAAGTAAGTCTGTACTCGGGCCCTATAAGAGGAATACCTGGAGCTCCAGCAGCCCTCCATCTCACTCAGCCACAATTCTGGCTGGTTTTTACAGCCAGAAGTTACGGGGACTTCTCTTCCTGGCACTGGAGCCCTGGGCTGGAGAGCCTGGTGTGGAACTGGGGACCCTGGCTCCTCAGGGTGGACATTCACAGCCAAGATACCCTTCCCAATTTTTAACCACCACACATGGGTGTGGGATCAGCCTATTCCACATCTCCACCCTTCCTACTAGTTTTGATGTGGCTTCTTCTCATTTCTTTAATTATAGGACCTCTGTTCAGCTAGATTTCAGGCAGTTCTGAATGATGGTTGTTCTGTAGTTTAGTTGCATGGGTGTGCACATAGATGCACATGAATGTGCACACAGGCACATTGACGCACATGTGTATTTGCATGCACACACTTGGTCACATGAGCACACACAGGCACACAAACACACATGTGTGCACACATGAATGCACACCTAAGCACACACATGTGTGTACATAAGCACATGAATGCACATGTGTAAAGCACACACAAGGCATGTGAGTGCATATGCACATACACATACTTTTGCACACATAGGCACATGAATGCATATGTTCATGAAAATTCATGAGTTTGCACACATGGGTGCATAAGTGCACATGTGCATGCATACACATGAGTGTACACACACATCCACACTCTCACAGCTTACAGAGTGGATGAGGCCATTCACACTGAGATCGATGCTGTTAAAGGACAACAAAGAGGTAGAAGAGAGGCCCAGGGATGGAGGCTTTCACACAAGGCATGCCCAGTAACCCCACTAAGTTTGGGAATCTGGACCACCATCCTCTGGAATTTGCCGTCTTCCCCAGATTCACTTATGCTCTCTCCCCTTCCCTGGCCTGTTTTCCCACTGATGAGCATCATCTTGAAAATGAATCTAAAGCACTTTCTCTTCATTGTCTCATTCCCTCTACGTATTTTTTCTGTTTAGAAAAAAACAACAGTCACCTCTTTCAGAGCCTTTGCTTTTGCCCTGGGCAGGGAAGACAAAATGTACCAGTGACATACTTATCCCTGGGAAAACAAAGGAAGGGAAAGTACCAGTTAGCTCCCTCTTTCCCCATCCCTCCCCAACCAAGGCCCACTCCTCTCTTCCACTCTCCCTCCCTCCCTTTCTCCCTCCCTCTCTTTCCCACTGTGTCCACTTGCAGCACAACCCATGAGGTGACCAGAGCACTGGGCCTTCAGCACCTTAACTAATGCAGCAGACAACACATACCTTTCTACAATTTCTTTCACAGTTCCAAAAGGGAGGGAGAGAGGGAATGTTATACATTGAGAATATACTATATAATATATAAAATGAAACAGAGATATACATCTTAACAACTTGGGAATATCTTCCTGGGAAAGGTGATTATTATCTTAAAAAGGAGTGGTTCTTATTATATCAATAGTGAAATGTGTTTTCATTCAAATAAAAAAATATTTATAGAGATCCTCTTTTATGCCAAGACCTGTTTCAATGCTGGGTTTAGGAAGTGAGTAAAACAGGTGTGGACTCTGATGTCAGAGAGCTCCAATCCAGCAGGAGAGAGTTAAAAGTCAAGTAATCTGCCCTGGCAGTTGTGGCTCAGTGGATTGAGTGTTGGCTTGAGAACCAAGGGTGGGTCAAATCCTTAGTTAGGGCACATACCTGGGTTGCGGGCCAGGTCGCCATTAGGGGGAGCATGAAAGGCAATCACACATTGATGTTTCTCTCCCTCTCTTTCTCCCTCCCTTCCCCTCTCTCTAAAAATAAATATATAAAACCTTTTTAAAAAGTCATGAAATCACGCCTGGCTGGCGTAGCTCAGTGGATTGAGTGCGGGCTGGGAACCAAAGTGTCCCAGGTTCGATTCCCAGTCAGGGTACATTCCTGGGTTGCAGGCCATGACCCCCAGCAACCGCACATTGATGTTTCTCTCTCTCTCTCTCTCTCCCCTTCTTCCCTCCCTAAAAATAAATAAATAAAATCTTAAAAAAAAAGTCATGAAATCAAATATATAAATGTCACAAACCATTTTGGGTGCTGTCACACAGAAGACAGGCAGCACGGTGGATATGACACACACAGACTGGGTGAGGGTTGAAGGAAGGCCCCTGTGAGCAGAGAAACTGGGCATAAGCAAAAGTTATCCAGAAGCAGAGGAGGAATTCCTTTAAACTTCAGAAAAATACAACTTAGTATCCATTGATTCTCAATATACTGGATACTTAGTACATTTAAGGAAAATTCAAATCAGTGGAGCATAAAACTGAAAGGATTTCAGCTGACTCTGGAGCAGTCATAGTATTTCAAATAAAGCAGAATGTGGGTCCGCTTAAAAGCCGAGGCCGTGGAGGCCTCATGCGCTCTGTGTATCTGGGCCTTACTGTGCTCCCACAGTGATTTACTTGTCATTGCTCATTGTCACTATAAAGTCTGAATTTCATTTGGATGCACTAAGTGCTGTAATGTTCAGGTTTCATTTTGTCCCCCTCTTAGGAGGCAGTCATGCCTGATGTGTCTAATGAACATGCCCAGTCTACCCTGAACTGGCTCCCAGCCCAAACGGTCCTGTCAGAGCAGTAAAGGCACCTATTATGGTCTGCCTCGGTTTTAGATTTCATTGTACTGACTGAAGACAAGCTGTACTCAGTGTGACCGTGCCCCCTTCCACCACACCCCCTTTCACACTTTAGGCTGGGACAGTGGTGGTGGGATTTCTCTGGAATCTTGGTGCTGTGATATGCTTGAATATTTGGAAAGACCCTTCTGTCATCAGTGCCTTGTAACTTTTAACCTTTACTCTTTCTTTTTTTATCTTAAAAGGCTTGATCTGTCTGTCGAAAGCATCTCCCGAGACTGGCTTGAGAGTTCTGGGCTACCACAGGTGAGCTCCAGATCACTGCTTCAGGGGAGAGAGTGGACAGTACTGACTCTTGCCACTCAGTGTATCAGTCATGACAGTGACTTATTTCTATATTTATACATATAAAGGTAATTATCTTCCTGAGTTGGAGTATCCCTAAGTCAGAAAAATGATGGTCTCGCACCCCTTCTCATCCTGCTGTCAGGCCTCTGCCTCAGGTGACCTGTGTCATGGCAGACATGCTGCTCGACCCCAAACTGTGTATAAATGAGCTCTTGTAAAGCATGTGTATTTTGGGTGTGGTGACCAGGCCACAAGTCAGTGCCACCGGTGGGTTTGCAGCTGGAACTCCAGCTCTGTTCTTTGGATATAGCCAGACAGGGAGTTGGCTGCCTGCAGCTTTCCTCTGACCTGTCCTACTCGTGGTTGTTCCATCATTTCCCAGTATGCTGCCCCTTGGCTTCCTTCTCAAGTTCTGCATCCCTTCCTCAGGCTGGCTTCTCATCCAAATGTCCATCAAGGTTCATTTCTCCATCTTAAGCATGGGGACTTGTCCCTAGTGAAAGTTTTACTCTCTCCCTCCCTTTCAGCCCCTGGGCAACTTTGAGGAGAGATTGTTCCAGCTAGCCCAAACTCCTTCTCTCCCCTCCACCTTTCCCAGGCCTTAGCTTCCTGGAGCCTAAAGGGCAGCCCCAGCCCCTCACCAGTCCAAGTGCTTCCTGTTGCTAGAGCCTGGGCCCTTAGAGGTCCCAGGATGGCATCCGGGTGGGGCTGGTCCAAGGGCCCTGTAGGCCTGGTGCTTTCCCAGTGGGTTGCCCCTGCTGTGACCGCACACCCATCACAGAGGCCCCAGCCTGGGAGTGGCCCACCCGGTGAGAGACTGCCTTGGGCCCGTTAGCCCCGTTAGCCTGCTCGTTTCTGGTTTCATGGCTGGTTATATGAGCTTTCCCTTGGGAGTGTCTGAATGTCAATGAATGTCTGTGAACCATGAAATTAAGGAACAGGCAGGGCTGTTCTCTATTACCTTTTCATCCCTCTCCTCACATCTTTGTCCTGTCCTACCACACAGGGGAAAATGTCAACCACCAACCACCATAAGCTCATTCCTAAGAAGATTGCATTGTCTTGGGGTCACCTGTTAAAAATTATTTGGCCCAATCCTTCTGGAAACAAAGGAAGAATAAAATTCTGAGTCCTAAAAAGCCAAAACAAAGCATGGGTGGGTAAGGCAGCACTTGGTCCTGGGAGGCAAGTGCTTTTAACTCATATGTATTAAAATGAGCTGCTGTGATTTCTAATGAGGTACATTCCTAACTAGGCAGCTTTCTGGGTATAAAAATCTCAAGGAAACAGCTTTAGATCTGTCTGAGCCTAAATAGCCAAGACTTGCCCTTGTTTTGGATGGGCAGGGGGCCATCTCCTAAAGCCGCTGCCTCGTGTTCTCAGGCCAGGCTATTGCAAGGTTCCCTGACATTCTTAGCATGGTCTAGAAACTGGGAGGAGTTGGGAGCTCAGAGAGCAGAATCCTGAATCTCCTGGCTCCAGACAACAAGTCCGTTGTGTTGAGCAGTTAGCCCCCAGGGAAGAGAACAGAAAGAGCTCTTCATCCTTGCCCAGAAGCAGGCTCACCCCACTGGGGCGGCTGTAACACTGGGGCTGACCTTCTCACTCTCAGGAGGCTCCTTATTTCCCCTGAAGAGGCTGAGGCTTTGCCACCAGCAGGAGGCTTTTGCTTTTCATTAAAAGGGGGAGGTCTACTTGCATTAGTGACAGCTTATTGTGTAGACAAGAATCTCTGCTATAAACTAACAAAACCTGCTGTCAAAACACAGCCAGGTGCAAGGAGGCCAACTCAGTTATAAATTGTCTTTTAAACCCAACTGGTATTTCCTTGGGTGCTTAACTATTCAGTAAAAACAACAGTGTCGGACAGAAAAGGCCTTGATTTAGTGCACATCTTTCCATTGGTAAATGATCAGAAGGCATTTTATTCATCTCCTTACCCATTTTCTGCCATTATTTATGTGGTTGATGATGATTTACCTGCTTGCACTCCTTGAGAGTTCCTTCTCATTTCCACTTCAGTGATAGGCTCCGCAAAGGCCGGGACCCTCTGGTTGCAGGAGCCTGGTGGTGAATGGGGCACCTTGTTCTTTGTCTACATCATTGTAATATAAAGTTACTATTGTGGTTGGCCTGGAATGACAACCAGAGCACTGAAATCGCTCTGATGCTCTTTGTTCTCATTAAAAATTTCTGTCCACCAGCAATTGAAGTCACTCATGACAAAAGAGTCACGTTCTACTGGTCAAGTTTTTCTTCCACAGGTTACAGAGGCTTTTTATCTTCTCTCAGGGATGCTTGTCTTATGGTTGGCCTCGATTTTCCTTTTTGACCACATTGAATGGAAATCATTTTTTAAAATGTGGAAATAGGTTCACCAGCAATAAAAGTAATCATGAGCCCCAAAGAAGTAAAAGAAATTGGATCCAAACCCCTTTAAGAATGCCAAACCCTGTAACCTTTGGTTTTCCAAACAGATTTAAAATTGATTCTACCATTGGTATTATAGATGATTTTCTTGTATGACTTTTTTTCTGATTGTAGTTGTATTACCTATATAGTTTTGAATATAAAAAAGCCTATTATAAAATAAAAATGACCCATAGATAATTTTTAAAATAAATCCTTTCATTTTCCTATATGGATATATGGTTTACCCTTTTCTCTGTCTCCCTTTTCAAAAATAAAAATAATATGTTTTCTGTACCAAGTTCAAGCAATGGCAAAATGTAAAATGTCAAAGCCCTTGTTCTCTTCAGTCTCACCCACCAGAGATAATCCTTCCTTCCACACATTTTTCTGTGCTCTATGGTGTGTATGTGCATTTTCTTTTAAAGCAGAATTGGAATTTTATTATTCAAACTTAAAGTCTTCATCAGTTGTTGGGAAAACTGGACATGTGTCTGTTAAGTTTTAAACCAATTTCTTATACCATACAAAAATAAGCTCATTTAAATGAGTTTAAGTGTAATGAGATTTGAAAGTAAGACCTGAAACCGTAGAACTCCTAGAAGAAAAGATAGGTAGTAAACTCTTTAATGTCACTCTTAGCAATAACTTTTTGGGTATGTATCTTTGGGCAAGGACAACAAAAGAAAAAATAAACAAATGAAAGTACATCAAAAAGACAGCCTACTGAATGGGAGAATGTAATTTGCGAATGATACATCTGATAAGGGATTAATATCCAAATTATATAAGGAACTCATACAACTTAACATAAAAAAATCCAATTTAAAAACAGACAGAGGACCTTAATAGACATTTCTCCAAAGAGGACATACAGATAGCCAACAAACATATGAAAAGATGTTCAACATCACTAATCAGGAGGGAAATACAAATTAAAACCACAATGAAATATTACCTCACAATCCTCAAAATGGCTATCATCAATAAATCAATAAATACGAAGTGCTGGTGAGGCTGTAGAGAAAAGGGAACCGTCATGCACTGTTGGTGGGAATAAATATTGGTGCAGCCACTGTGGAAAGCAGTATGAAGTTGCCTCAAAAAGTTGAAAATAAAGTTGCCATATGATATAACAGTTCCACTTTTAGATATTACCCAAAGAAAACATAAACACTTATTTTAAAAGATATATGGACCCCTATGTTCATTGCTCCAGTATTTACAATAACCAAGGTATGGAAGCAACCTAAGTGCCCATCGATAGACGAGTGGATAAAGAAGATGTGGTACATATGTACAATGGAATACTACTCAACCATAAAATACAATGAAATCTTGCCATTTTCAACAACATGGATGGACATAGAGGGTATTGTACTGTGAAATAAGTCAGGCAGAAAGACAAATTCCATGTGATTTCACTATGTGGAATCTAAAAAACAAAACAAATGAGCAAACAAAACAGAAACAGACTCCTACATACAGAGAACAAGCTGATAGTTGCCAAAGGGGAATTAGGGGGATGGAAATTTTTAAAAAATAGTCTACATTTTACTTTCTTCCTTACTAGCTGTGTGACCTCCTGAAAATTTTTTAAAAATATGTTAGACTTTTAAAATATCACAGAAAAAAATCAGTTTTCTGTACTTGTTATAATTATTTAACAAAAAAAATGGATTTTATTTCATTGTGCTCTAGATTGTGATGATTGTTATATTTTCCTGTTTACCCAAAATTCTCACTAGCTGAAGGATAAACACTATTTTTAGTACCTTGTCAATTTTAGAAGAGGAAAATTATAAATCATTTTACTTAGTCTTTATAAAACAAGAAGAATCTTACATTTAACATTCTATAGCAAATATTCACCCAAGAAAGCATACATTACAAAGAACAGTATGAGGAAATATTTAGTATGGTGCATGGACACTTTGCTGTGTGGTTTCCATTATGGTGAGTGTGTGTTTGTGTTTGGTAACCAAGATCCTATGCTCCACTGACCCTGGTGTGAGCTTTCAGGCTAGACGTAAAACTGGAGTGATTCAAGAACTTCTGAAGATTTTAGAGTTAGAGCTTTTCTTCAAAAAATAAGTGAAAGCAAAACACAAAGTTAATATAGGTAGATAGATAGATAGATATCTTAAGTATTTCCCAAATCCCTTGATATAATCAAGAGCAATAATTTTAACAGTTGCAAAGATTTTCATAGTACCATAATTTAATTTATTCATATTGGTGCTGCCCTCCAGTCCCTCCCCCTGTTGGAATAACACACATAATTTCTTTTTTTTTTCACTTATTTTTATCCAACTTTTTACTTATTTTTATTTTTAAGTGTAATTTATTGATTATGCTATTACAGTTGTCCCATTCTTTTTTCTCCCTTTTATCCTCCTCCTCCCAGTACCCAAATTCCTTCTAGCATTCCCCCCACCCCTTAGTTTATGTTCATGTCGTACATATAAGTTCTTTGTCTGCTCCATTTCCTATACTATTCTTAATATCCCCCTGTCTTTTTTGTACCTAGCAGTTATTCTTCTTATTCC